GCCCGAAACGTCGCCGATTACATCTATACGAAATCTTTGTGCGACCGCTGTGATTGACCATTGTGTTGAGTTTTTTGTGTGTGTGAATCCTCCCTGTGCATCGCTGCCAATGCAGCAGCAGCAGCATCGCCAATCAATATTGATCGTGGTAGATATTGCATCATGGTGAAGATAACGAGTTTGTTCACGGTAACGCCGCAGCGTCTCGGTGTGCGTAAGGTGCGAAAGAAGTTCAACATCCATAGACACACACGGGGGTACCCTCAGTGGCAGCTGCCCCTAACGCCCCACAATGTGGCTCAGCACCTGGCCTGCAATTGGGAATGAGTCTGCCAGTACGGGGGGGGGGGGGCGATGATGATGCTATGCAGTCGAGCCTATGGGCACCCCCGGTGGCAGCTGTCCCTGTGGGGCACAGAGTGACTCGGCACCCGGGCTGCGAGCAGGACGTCCGTCTGTCAGGAGGGGGGCAACGATTGCCTCCCGCGTGTGATCCCGAGCGAGCGATACGTCGCGGGCGCGTAACAATCGCTCACTTATTATGATTCGTAATGATACGTAGAACAAACGCGACGGGTCACACGAGACTGGACAATGCAAACGAGACGAGCGACGGGACAGAATATACAAACCTCTGAGCCAACCAGACGGGCAATAGCGAGCAAGGCGGAACCAGGTGGGGCGCCATGAACGAGACGCGATCAACAAGAATTGGCGGACTTAAGTCGACAGAGCACACCTCGGAAGCAACACCACTCGTCAATGATGCTGCGGCCTTGAAATAATTGTTCCCAAAAAAATAAATATATTCGGCGACGTTTCGGGCAATGGCCAATTCCGTGGTATGCTATGAGGAAAACTGTGTTGGGTTTTGTTTTGTCAGTTGTGCTTGTGCACCATTGTTAACAAAGCAGCAGCAGCAGCACCTCCGACTAGCACGGGTGGCTACGTAGAGTGTGAAAGAAGATCAGCATACACACAGATGTTGACTCCCTCGCCTGGTATGCAGCAGGTCGTGGGCTCGATCCCGACCTTGACCGCGTGGGTTTTTCTCCCCTAGGTCCCTCCGGGCTTTCCCTAATTTAGAATCAAACATCCACGCGTTTCGAGTATCTTGTTCTGCTGTAAATTCCCACGTGGTGACGATAGGGCTCACTTCGTTGAGCTATCATCTGGGATCGCAAGGTCGCTTCTGAAAAAAGAGCTGTTGGGCCTTAACCGGTTAAATAAATAAAAAAAACTAGTTTTAGGTGACATAGCAGGCGAATGTGTTTCGGGCCGTGAGTGAGAGAACGAGTGAGTGGGCTGCTGCCTGGGCTCGTCGTGCCTCGGAGGGGACAATGGCTGCAGGCAGGTCCGGACTGGCCATGGGGTCGGCAGTACGTCGGGCCAATGCCCGGTTGGGCCAATCCATTCCGAGCGGCCGGTGGGCCGGTCTGTGTGGGGCAATTGCAAATGTGATCAGAGTGAAAACAATATAATAGTATTGCTGATGTACGTTTTCAGTTTGTGTTAAGTCACAAATATTCGGAAGCTACAAAGATGTTTTTCTCACCGGCCGCCAACCATTTGTGTTTTTGGACTCAGCCCAAATGGGCCAATGAGGCCGCACGGCAATTTGGGCCCGGTGTGTTTTACAAACTCCTTGGCCGATTTGTTTTTGTATCAATCCGTCAATGGCTACAGACCAGGACTGGTGGCAGATTGTGGCAGCCAGTGGAGAGAGCCGTGCCTCACTCCTAGGAGGAGCACCAGCACCACCACCACGGAGATGGATCGATGGGATCGTGGCTTCGCAGAGCTGTGCGGGGTGACGATGGCGTTTGGTGGGATGCTTTCATCCAGCAGTGGATAGATAATGGCTGCGGATTAAATTATTATGCTGGTTTACCTTTTATCCTTCGTCAGTTTTGCAGACCAAATTTTTACTTGGTATAAACCTCACTCGTTAAAAGTAATCGAATAGAAATGCAGACAAGAGTCTTGATTCGCCGTTCGGTAAGGTGGGCTCTGGCAGGGCCCCCGCCACGGCTGGCAGAGACGATGACCGATGGTCGAGACTGGTGACGGAGTGGCGGCCAAAGGAGGGAAACACACGCCAGAGAGAGAGAGAGGGGTGCGAGGGACACTCCCCGTGGAGATGGAGCAATGAGAGCACCTTCGACGTTTTACAGGAGCCGAGATGGATCGTGGCATCGCGGGGGATCGCGTCAGATGGTGATGGCTGGGGGGGGGGATGATGACGATGACTCGAGCCAAGTATTAGAATTTAAAAAGCCAGTGAGAGTCACGAATGACAAATTAGTGGTGATCTTACGAAGCATTTTCACAAATGACAATGATGGTGATAGCGATTATTTACCCAGGAGAATCGCGGTGACATCACAAACGGTCTCTCATCATTATCACTGCAATTAGATAAAACCGCAACAACCACCACCACCACCAGCCTCTACTGGGTGAATAAGGCGAAGCTGCACCGCGAAAAGTCAACAGGCAATCCTGCTGTGGAAACAGACCCGGCGCGTGGTTTCCGCCGCATTATTTTTGCGTTCTAATTTTGGTTATGGGATTACAGCCGAGAGTATTGGAATCTGTTGGTGCACTAATGTCAGGGTCGTTATTGATGAGGTCGATTGAACAGGGTTTTAGCCGCTCGGTTGCTTCCAATAAACGGCTCGGGATATCGCTCGGCTCAGACTCAGCTCGTGGAAATCCTCTGGCGCGTGGCTGGGACCAGCCTCAGAGTCGGCTCAAGTCGAGCGCTTGACTTTGAGCCACGGCTCAATTGAGCCGGAGCCGATTCCGTGACCTGAACAAAAACAACAACACGAGCCCGAGTATCTCAGCTGCGATACGAGGCACATGGTTTGATGACGATCGTTACATTCATCATCATCATCAACAGCCACGATCCACCGCTGGATGACGACCTCTGCCAAAGCTGTCGCTATCCATCACGCCACGTAAAGGACCCTCCACTCCACAGCACCTGCCGCACACGGAGCTTATTTCACGGCTCCATCTCTGCGGTTGATGGTTTAAAAAAACGACACCACCCACCCACTCACTCACCCCCCACTCACCCACCCACCCCACTCACTCACCCCCCACTCACCCACCCCACCCACCCCACTCACTCACCCCCCACTCACCCACCCCACTCACTCACCCCCCACTCACCCACCCCACTCACTCACCCCCCACTCACCCACCCCACTCACTCACCCCCCACTCACCCACCCCACTCACCCACCCCACTCACCCACCCCACTCACTCACCCCCCACTCACTCACTCACTCACCCCCCACCACCCCCCCACTATCGCTTAACCCGGCCGTTGCCTTGCGATGGTGGGGGATCGAAGGCCATTTCAGAAGAGTGATGTCCGTGCGCGCATGTATAAATCTTCCCCCCGTCGAGCGTTCGACGTTTCGAGTGCGTGACCTTAATTAAGCGGCGAGTGACTGCACAGGGGAACCCGCGATAACAGCCGGGAGGGCTCTCCCACGCCTCAATAATGAATCCTGCCTCCAGGGTCTCGTCTCCGAAGCTAAGCAGATGTTGAGCCTGGTCAGCAAATGGTGGGTAGGTGGGTGGGCGACTTCTTAGGAATGCCAGGTGTTATCGGCTTGGGCTTCGAGAGGGGGGGGGGGGGCGGACGATGGTGATGTTTGTTTTCAATTTCGTAAAATCCATCTGTGTGGGGTTCGCCCCCCCCCCCCCCCCCCTTTCCCCCCCAGATAGTCGATCATGGAATTAACAGGGGAGCGTACGCCGTGTACGCGTGTGGACTCGCTAACAGCACTTGTCCACAACAGTCTGTGGAGGCTATACAGGGGAGGGGGGGATCTTTATCTTTAGTACTTGCCACGAATTCAGCCACCCGAGTCCGATTCCCCGCTCACGACCAAAACCAGTGGCGAATACTTGAACCGCTGTGCCGGGCCTCACCTAGATCGACTCGGCCTTGAACGAGCACCTGGTGTGCAAACACAAGCATTGGGGAGACAAAGACGGCCGGGCGTGACGTTGTCCGTCCCTGCCTTCATAAAAGTGCGTGTGCACGGCCCGCGTTGTCAATCCACTGCTGGATGAGACTTGGCCACACGGTGGGGGGTCGTGGGGGTCATTTGACCATACTTCACCACGCTGGTCAGTGCTGGTCGGCGAAGTGTGAGTGCGTGTGTGTGTGTAAGCGGGTGAGATGTGTGACAAAGATAGAGTGAGCGACAAGGTGGGTGGGTGATGGGTGGGAGAGAGAGAAAGAGAGAGGAAAATCGATAAGGAGGGGGGAGCGGATGGAGAGAGAGTCACGGGGGGGGGGGGGGGGCAGAGAGAAAGAGTGTGTGTCTGTGAGTATGGGGAGAGGAAAACGATGATAGAGAGAGAGGGGGGAGGTAGGAAGAGAAGCAGGGAGAGAGAGAGAGAGAGGAGAGACGCGGGGGGAGCCGGGGGGAGCCAGGGTGGAGTGGAGCCAGGGAGAGCGTGGAGCGTGGAGTGTGGAAAGAGAGAGAGGGAGGGGGGTAAAAGAGAGGGAGGGAGAGAGCAAAAGAGAGAGGGGGAGGGAGGGCAAGGGAGCACAGAGAGTGAAAACCTGGGGGGGGAGATGTGGAGGAGGGCATCAGAGTGTATGTAGAGTGCGGGGAGGAGGAGGAGGAGCAAACGAGAGGGAGGGAGAAGGGAGGGGGGAGAGACAGAGGACCCGGGGTGCAGGGAGAGTTAACACAGAGAGAGAGTAGAGAGAGAGTAGAGAGAGAGAGTAAGGGAGAGAGACACACACACACAAATCGGCACTCCAGTTCCAACCACCGCGCCTCCATCGCGCGATCCATTCCGTATCTTCGCATCCACTCCGCATCTCGCGTTCCGCCGGCTCTGGGAGGAGGAGGCGGTGGGTGGGGGGTGGGGGTGGTCTGGGGGTTGTGGGCGTGGTTATGGTGAGTGAGGGGCGGGGCCTGTAGGCGGGGGAGGGGCGGGGCTGGGGGAGGTAATAGAATCGGCGCTGTAAGGTGACACATGGACTTGCTCCGCTCGCTCTAATTTCTGCCTGATTCACTTATTGTGGCGCTCACACAGAGCGAGAGGAGAGAGAGGGCGAGAGGAGAGAGAGACACACACACGCACGCAGAGACAGAGTGAGAGACACAGAGAGTGAGAGATAACGTGAGAGAGAGAGAGAGAGGGACACACACACACAGAGGGACAGAGTGAGAGACACACACACAGAAGCGAACACAGTCGGTCCCCAGCTCTGAGCCTCCTCCTCCCCCCTCCCCCTGCCCAGAGCTTCAACTCCACCAGCAACAGCAGCACCTCCTTGCCTGCCACAACCACCACACACACACGCGGCCTGCCCACGAGGTGAGTCGATGAGAAGCATTCTGGCATCAAATCACTACCACCATCACAATCACCACCACCATCATCATCATCATCACATGAATCACCAACAACGTAACGCATCACAATCACCATCATCATCATTACCACCTCCATCATCATCACAGTCATCACCAACAACGTAACGCATCACAATCACCATCATCATCATTACCACCTCCATCATCATCACAGTCATCACCAACAACGTAACGCATCACAATCACCACCACCATCATCATCATTACCATCATCATCATCACAATCGTAACATCACACCGCCATCACAACCATCCACATCCTCGTTATCATCATATCCCCGGGGCACTTACAACACGCGGTGCAATGTAACGAACGCGTTGTGTGGTGTGTGTGTGTGTTGTGTGTGTGTGTGTGGTGTGTGTGTGTGTGGTGTGTGTGGTGTGTGTGTGTGTGTGGTGTGTGTGTGTGGTGTGTGTGGTGTGTGTGGTGTGTGTGTGTGTGTTGTGTGTGTGTGTGGTGTGTGTGGTGTGTGTGTGTGTTGTGTGGTCTGTGTTGTGTGTGTGTGTTATGTGTGGTCTGTGTTGTGTGTGTGTGGTGTGTGTGTGGTGTGTGTGTGTGTGGTGTGTGTGGTGTGTGTTGTGTGGTCTGTGTTGTGTGTGTGGTGTGTGTGTGTGTGTGGTGTGTGTGTGTGTGGTGTGTGTGTGTGTTGTGTGGTCTGTGTTGTGTGTGGTGTGTTTGTGTGTGTGTGGTGTGTGGTGTGTGTGTGTTGTGTGTGTGTGTGGTGTGTGTGGTGTGTGTGTGTTGTGTGTGTGTGTGTGTGTGTGTGGTGTGTGTGTGTTGTGTGTGTGTGTGTGTGTGTGTGTGTGTGTGTTGTGTGGTCGTGTGTGTGTGTGTGTTATGTGTGTCTGTGTTGTGTGTGTGTGGTGTGTGTGTGGTGTGTGTGTGTGTGGTGTGTGTGGTGTGTGTTGTGTGGTCTGTGTTGTGTGTGTGGTGTGTGTGTGTGTGTGGTGTGTGTGTGTGTGTGGTGTGTGTGTGTGTTGTGTGGTCTGTGTTGTGTGTGGTGTGTTTGTGTGTGTGTGGTGTGTGTGGTGTGTGTGGTGTGTTGTGTGTGTGTGTTGGTGTGTGTATGGTGTGTGTGGTGTGTGTTGTGTGGTGTTGTGTGTGGTGTGTGCGTGTTGTGTGTGTGTGTGTGGTGTGTTGTTTGTGTGTGTTGTGTGGTGTGTGTGTGTATTGTGGTGTGTGTGTTTTGTGCTGTGTGTGGTGTGTGTTGTGTGTGTGTGGTGTGTGTGTTGTGTGTGTGGTGTGTGTTGTGTGTGTGCTGTGTGTATGTGTGTAGTGTGGTGTGTGTTGTGTGTGGTGTGGTGTGTGTTGTGTGTGGTGTGATGTGTGTTGTGTGTGTGCTGTGTGTATGTGTGTAGTGTGGTGTGTGTTGTGTGTGGTGTGTGTTGTGTGTGGTGTGGTGTGTGTTGTGTGTGTTGTGTGTGTGGTGTGTGTTGTGTGTGTGCTGTGTGTATGTGTGTGGTGTGGTGTGTGTTGTGTGGTGTGTTTGTGTGTGGTGTGTGTGTGTGTGGTGTGTGTGTGTTGTGTGTGGTGTGTGTTGTGTGTGGTGTGGTGTGTGTTGTGTGTGGTGTGGTATGTGTGGTGTGTGTTGTGTGTGGTGTGGTGTGTTTGTGTGTTGTGTGTGGTGTGTGCGTGTGGTGTGTGTGTTGTGTGGTGTGTTGTTTGTGTGTGTTGTGTGGTGTGTGTATTGTGGTGTGTGTATTGTGTGGTGTGTGTGTGTTGTGTGGTGTGTTGTTTGTGTGTGTTGTGTGGTGTGTGTATTGTGGTGTGTGTATTGTGTGGTGTGTGTGTGTTGTGTGTGGTGTGTGTTGTGTGGTGTGTGTGTTGTGAGTGGTGTGAGTGATGGTGTGAGTGATGGTGTGTTGTGAGTGGTGTGAGTGATGGTGTTGTGTGTGTTGTGAGTGGTGTGAGTGATGTTGTGGTGTGTTGTGTGTGTTGTTGGGTGTGTGGTGTGTGTGTTGTGTGTGTGTGGTGTGTGTGTTGTGTGTGTGTGTGTGGTGTGTGTTGTGTGTGTAAGATCACACACACACCACGTGTGTGTGTGTAAGTGACATTTGACAACAACCCTGAAGGTTGTAGGCGGTGTTGTTGTTGTTGTATCCGGTTGTGAAGATGACTCACGAACCACCCCCCACCCCCCTGGCGTCCGTCGGCGTTTTACAACAAATTGCAGCCTTCACACTGTACACCGCACTGTACACAGCACTGTACATAAAACACCGCACGGACTGTACCGCACTGTACACAGCCGTGCCGTACTGTACTGCCTTTGTGTTGTGATGCTGCCTTTGTGTTGTGTGTGTTGTGATGGTGGTGGTGTGTGTGTTGTGATGGTGTTGTGGGTGATGGTGATGTGGGTGATGGTGTTGTGGGTGATGGTGATGTGTGTTGTGATGGTGTTGTGGGTGATGGTGATGTGGGTGATGGTGTTGTGGGTGATGGTGTGTGTGTTGTGATGGTGTTGTAGGTGATGGTGTTGTGGGTGATGGTGTTGTGGGTGATGGTGTGTGTGTTGTGATGGTGTTGTAGGTGATGGTGTTGTGGGTGATGGTGTGTGTGTTGTGATGGTGTTGTGGGTGATGGTGTGTGTGTTGTGATGGTGTTGTGAGTGATGGTGATGTGGGTGATGGTGTTGTGGGTGATGGTGTTGTGGGTGATGGTGATGTGGGTGATGGTGTTGTAGGTGATGGTGATGTGTGTTGTGATGGTGTTGTGGGTGATGGTGATGTGGGTGATGGTGTTGTGGGTGATGGTGTGTGTGTTGTGATGGTGTTGTAGGTGATGGTGTTGTGGGTGATGGTGTTGTGGGTGATGGTGTGTGTGTTGTGATGGTGTTGTGGGTGATGGTGTTGTGGGTGATGGTGTGTGTGTTGTGATGGTGTTGTGGGTGATGGTGTGTGTGTTGTGATGGTGTTGTGAGTGATGGTGATGTGGGTGATGGTGTTGTGGGTGATGGTGTTGTGGGTGATGGTGATGTGGGTGATGGTGTTGTAGGTGATGGTGTTGTGGGTGATGGTGATGTGAGTGATGGTGTTGTGGCTGATGGTGTTGTGGGTGATGGTGTTGTAGGTGATGGTGTTGTGGGTGATGGTGATGTGGGTGATGGTGTTGTGGGTGATGGTGATGTGTGTTGTGATGGTGTTGTGGGTGATGGTGATGTGGGTGATGGTGTTGTGGGTGATGGTGTGTGTGTTGTGATGGTGTTGTAGGTGATGGTGTTGTGGGTGATGGTGTTGTGGGTGATGGTGTGTGTGTTGTGATGGTGTTGTAGGTGATGGTGTTGTGGGTGATGGTGTGTGTGTTGTGATGGTGTTGTGGGTGATGGTGTGTGTGTTGTGATGGTGTTGTGAGTGATGGTGATGTGGGTGATGGTGTTGTGGGTGATGGTGTTGTGGGTGATGGTGTTGTGGGTGATGGTGTTGTGGGTGATGGTGTTGTGGGTGATGGTGATGTGAGTGATGGTGTTGTGGCTGATGGTGTTGTGGGTGATGGTGTTGTAGGTGATGGTGTTGTGGGTGATGGTGATGTGGGTGATGGTGTTGTGGGTGATGGTGTTGTGGGTGATGGTGTTGTGAGTGATGGTGATGTGTGTGATGGTGTTGTGGGTGATGGTGTTGTGGGTGATGGTGATGTGGGTGATGGTGATGTGAGTGATGGTGTTGTGGGTGATGGTGTTGTGGGTGATGGTGTTGTGAGTGATGGTGATGTGTGTGATGGTGTTGTGAGTGATGGTGTTGTGGGTGATGGTGATGTGGGTGATGGTGATGTGGATGATGGTGTTGTGAGTGATGGTGTTGTGGGTGATGGTGTTGTGGGTGATGGTGTTGTGGGTGATGGTGATGTGAGTGATGGTGTTGTGGGTGATGGTGTTGTGGGTGATGGTGTTGTGAGTGATGGTGATGTGTGTGATGGTGTTGTGAGTGATGGTGTTGTGGGTGATGGTGATGTGGGTGATGGTGATGTGGATGATGGTGTTGTGAGTGATGGTGTTGAGTGATGGTGTTGTGGGTGATGGTGTTTGATGGTGATGTGAGTGATGGTGATGTGGGTGATGGTGTTGTGAGTGATGGAGATGTGAGTGATGGTGATGTGAGTGATGGTGTTGTGGGTGATGGTGTTGTGGGTGATGGTGTTGTGGGTGATGGTGTTGTGAGTGATGGAGATGTGGGTGATGGTGTTGTGGGTGATGGTGATGTGAGTGATGGTGTTGTGGGTGATGGTGTTGTGGGTGATGGTGTTGTGGGTGATGGTGATGTGAGTGATGGTGTTGTGGGTGATGGTGTTGTGAGTGATGGTGTTGTGGGTGATGGTGATGTGAGTGATGGTGATGTGAGTGATGGTGATGTGGGTGATGGTGTTGTGATTGATGGTGTTGTGGGTGATGGTGTTTGTGGAGGATGGTGTTGGGGTGATGGTGTTTGTGGGTGATGGTGTTTGTGGGTGATGGTGTTTGTGGGTGATGGTGTTTGTGGGTGATGGTGTTGTGGGTGATGGTGTTGTGAGTGATGGAGATGTGAGTGATGGTGATGTGAGTGATGGTGTTGTGGGTGATGGTGTTGTGGGTGATGGTGTTGTGGGTGATGGTGTTGTGGGTGATGGTGTTGTGGGTGATGGTGATGTGGGTGATGGTGTTGTGGGTGATGGTGTTGTGGGTGATGGTGTTGTGGGTGATGGTGATGTGGGTGATGGTGTTGTGGGTGATGGTGTTGTGGGTGATGGTGTTGTGGGTGATGGTGTTGTGAGTGATGGAGATGTGGGTGATGGTGATGTGGGTGATGGTGTTGTGGGTGATGGTGTTGTGGGTGATGGTGTTGTGGGTGATGGTGTTGTGGGTGATGGTGATGTGAGTGATGGAGATGTGGGTGATGGTGTTGTGGGTGATGGTGATGTGGGTGATGGTGATGTGGGTGATGGTGTTGTGGGTGATGGTGTTGTGGGTG